AGAGTCGTGCTTCCTTGAGCTCTTGGTGCCGGGCCTTTAGCTGCTCTACCCATAGGTGAGGTGGGGCCCCTGTATCTCTCTCGACCTTATCGTCGAAGTCATTAGTTGGGGTAGCCTCTCCCTTGTGGATGCTTTCGACGTGTCCCACGGGGGTACCTGCCATGAAACATTCATGAGAGGGGTGATGGATCCCCCTACTTGGGGGTAGAGCTGGAGGGTGACTCCGATTCTCTTGCGAGGAGGTCATAGAAAGATTCCGCGATATATTCGGTCATCCCCATGAACTCATCATTCATGAGGGATGGAGGCGTGCATTGTGCCACAAGGTGGCCAACGGTCTCTGTGGCGTTCTGAGACCGGATGGGAGCGCTGTCGGGGCGCTCCGGATGAGGTATTTCGGGGAGAGTGGCTCTCCTCCAGTAAGTTGTGTCATGACATTGGCGAATGAGAAGGAGAGGTGGCGCAGGTCCTCCTAGGACGGTCGGGGTCCTAGGAAGGCGTCAAGCTAGCGCTTTAGCCTCTCGTAATTGAAGCTAGGGAGCTAGTCGCTCCTAGGGGCGTGGACCTCCGGTGCATGCAGCTGTAGCTCCTTAAGCGCCTCGGCGATCGCATCAAGGCCGGCGGGGTGGAGAGGTTGGACGGCGGCGGGAGCCTGCGTGAACTCTCCCTCCGTCATGTGATGATGAAGTCTAGGTTCCCGAAGCACACGTGCACGCCCGGGACCTAGATAACACCATGACTAGCCATCCGAGACCTAGTGTGGACGTCGAGACGTGCAAAAGTCCCCTACCTGGCGCACCAACTGTCGGTGTTTCGAGTTACCACCGACGAGTAAATTTCTAGTATTGCGCATCTGGCTCGGATGGTGTGCTTAGAGGACACGAGGTTTATACTAGTTTGGGCAGAAAGTCCCTATGTCCAGTTCATCGCTGCTGCTCGTGTTACTAACACTGGAAGTTTGTAGTAGGGGTTACAAATAGGTGAGAGAGAGAAAGGATCCTAAGTCTCTGGTGGAAAGAATGAATGGGTGCTGAGAGCTCGACTGCTGCTTAGGTGTGTGCTCATGTGGTGTTCTTGAGTGGATCTGGATCGATCTGGTTTCCAAGGGTCGATCCCTCTTGAATCGGATCCCCCTCATGGGACGCCCTACTTTCCCTTTTATAGGCCAAGGGAAAGCACGGGTTACAGCGGAGGAAAAAAGAAGAACAAGAGAGAGAAGAAGGCCTTCTAGATCGCCAAGTCCTTCTTCTTCTTCATGCGGGTCTCGCCGATCCTATAGATGTCAACAGGGATGGCTCCATGTCGTGGCCCTATTTGTCACTAGCGCCATGCGTAGGCATCATCTGCCGGTCATGGCATTCCATTCTATCCCGACAAACATCGTGGTGAACTGACACGTCTATCAGCGTTCGTATGAGGATTAGGTAGAACAACACTGTCACGCCCGATGTTGCTCTTGATGTGAATCCTCAGGTATGGCATATCATGGCCACAGGTTACATCAAGTCATGCTAGTCTCTTCCCTGGTGTCAGAGTTTTGACCCAGGCCCATACGCTTCGACCTAGAGTGGTTGGCGGCGGTATGGGTCCCCATCGGGCGAGACGAAGCCCACACCCAAGGGGTCAGGCGAGACGGAGCCCGTGGCCTCGAGGTTAGGCGAGGCAAAGCCCATGGCCTCGGGGTCGGGTGAGGCGGAGCCCGTGGCCTTGGGGTCGGGCGAGGTGGAACCCACGGCCTTAGGGTCAGGCGAGGCGGAGCTCATGGCTTTAGGGTAGGGCGAGATAAAGCCCCCGACCTAGAGGTCGGAGAGGCGGGGCCCCAACCCAGAGGTCGAGAGAGGCAGAACCCGCCCCTAGAGGTCAGGCGAGGCGGAGCCTACGCATCTAGGGTCGGTTGGAGCTATAGTCGCGCTCTTGACTACTCGAATGAATCAATGTTGATGACCATTAGCTCCTCCTCTTCGAGTACCCTAGTATTGATCCCCGACAAATCCCGCCTGGATCGATTGAGGACCGTTCGATGTTAGAGTGCTGGTGAAGTTTGAAAGTACCAACACATAGCAAGGTCCCATGCATGGATGACAGTGAAACTTAGTACCTCTCTTGTACTAAGGGAACCCATGGGGTTTGCCAGCCGCTACACCGGTCCCTCGGGTAGTATTTGGGAGGTGGGAACCACAAAGAAACCATGCGTGTGAGCTTGCAATGATGCATGGCCGGTGGGTTAGGTTCCCAGGGCAGACTGGGTCGGTACTGGACCTTGGTACAATGGTAGGGAATGGTAGACCTATGCGGACCCTAGTCTAGGTTCGTACGGGCATGTGTTTGGGTTTACCCAGCTAGATGTAAATCGATTGCAATCGCCGTCTCTCCTCGGATAAGGATACCACTTTACCGCTTTCTATCATCGTAGTTAATGCAACTTGAACATGGATGATGATGGAGTCAGTGATGATCATGGATACTATTCTGATTGCTTACCACATGCTTGAAAGTAGTTTCAAGTGCAAACTTAGAATGGTTAAGTAATAAACCTACACTTGACTGCTAAAACTTGAATATAAGGACTTACCTCTAGTAAGCTTTTGCAAAAGATAAAAGAACCAGCAAACCAAAAGCCCCTGCATATCCTTTGAGAGTCGGGAGACTACTCCCACCTGTATCGGGTAAGTCTTGTTGAGTACACTTCAGTACTCAGGGTTTTATTCCCCCTGTTGCAGGTAATAGGTGGAAGCCAGAGCTAACTTTGTGTGTGGATACCTCCTGGTGGGCTCAGCTAGGACATCATTTTCCGCTGCGATCATAGAAGTTTTATACTTATATTTTCTACACTAGATATTAGGTTGAGATTGTTTACTTCCGCTGCTTTTATAAAAATATACTTATCTCCTGCTGCTTTACTAAAACTTGTTTTGTAATAACTCTGATATTGTAATTATATAATCATGTAATGAAAGAAATGGTTTTGATGTTTTGAAGTTTTATCTACTTATTTGTGTTCCTGGTGAAAATGTGGATTGTTTCGAGGTCTCCCACGGGGTGGTCTCGACGGACTACCGGGTTTGACTTGGTCTCTTGGGCACTTAGTGTTCAATGGCTGACAAGTGTGCTTGGGATTAAGTTAAACTGGGTGGTTCTGCCACACCCGGCGACGGTGGCTCGTAGATTCGGCGTGGCGGCGCTCCTGCCCCTCTTTGAGCGCGGCGGCCTATGGATCCGGCGCGGCGACACTCCTGCCCCTCTCTGAGCGCGGCGGCCCGTGGATCCGGTGTGTCGGCGCTCCTATTCCTCTCCGAGCGCGGTGGAATATGGATCCGATGCGGCGGCGCTCCTGCCCCTCTCCGAGCGCGGTGGCCCATGGATCCAGCGCGATGGCACTCCTACCCCTCTCCGAGAGCAGCGACCCGTGGATGCAGCGCGGCGGCACTCCTGCCCCTCTCCGAGCGGATTTGCCTCCACCGACGACAACGACAGGCGGATCTGCCTCCATTGATGGCCACGGCGGCGGATCTGCCACCATCGATGGCCACGACAGGTGGATCCGCCTCCACCAATGGGCACGGCGGGTGGATTTGCGAGTGGCGGATCCAGTTCATGATAGGGGCGCCGCAGTGGCCGACGGTTGGGCTAGAAATGGGTTCGCCGGTGGGCTCTGGGTTTTTTTTTGTTTTTTATTCGATTAACCGAGGCGAACTGGACTATGATTTTTCTAAGATATATTAACTATATCAAATCATATTTTTTTGCGGAATTAAATGAAGATAATTTTTATATGAAAATTATAGATCTCGACGAGATCTACAAATTTCTAGTTTTGAGTTTTTTCATTTAAAGTCGTTAAGATGCTAAAAAAAATTAATGACATATTTAGACTTAGGGATATTTTTGACTTTTTACACCTGCAGTTTGACGGTGTTAGAGCCTGAACTGACGGCAGTGGCATGGAGGGCACAAAAAAGTTGAAGCAAGTGGGCTGAAGACCGTTGAACTTTTTTAGAGACACATATGGTATTACGATCTTTTTAATGACACACAAAGAATTCCTCCAATGAGATTAGGGGGAAATAGGGACAATAGAGGGAAGGATACGGCACAAGTGACGAGATAAGAGTGTGTGTATATAACTGGCTACAAAAATAACTTATTCTGTAGCCACTTTGAGTTACGATAATTACTATGTTAATTTACGAGATTATAGTAACTCCTTACTAAGTGGTTTACTATAACGTTATGGTAAATATTCTCATGTGTTATAGTAACCCAACTATCGTAAATATGTATTGACATTATCGTAAATTTGTATATAAAATTATCATAAATGGAGGTGGCTACAGAATAACTTATTTTGTAGCTGGCTATACACACGAGAGAGACTCTTTATATATCTTTTCTAAATACTGGGAATAAAGATTTTGGTGAAAAACTATCGCCCAATAGCTTCTCTAAATGGTTATCTAAATATAACCATCATTTTATTCTGTATTTTTCGCTAACAAAAAATAGAAGACGAAAATGGTTCTCAAGAGTGCGCATGAGATATAGAAGAACGGTTGAAGAATGAAAAAAAAATATAGAAACCGATTTTTTATGTAAATGACCTTTTAAGGGCCTGTTTGAATGTACTTGGATTCACATTAATCTATATGTGTTGGATGGATTAAAGTAAAAGTTAAACTAAATTTCACCTCAATCTATATATGAATTGAATTGAGGTCAATCCGATAATATTAGAATTGAGGTGTAAACGATGATTTAGAAAGTGATGTTTAAATAGACAGTTCGTGATGCTCTTACAGGAGAGCGGCGCCTTATAAACTCCGTGGCCTCGTCTCCTTCCCCACTACAGCCTCGGCAGATCCCCGTGCCGACCGGTTTATACCCAATCGCTTCGTCCCGATTCGCGCCTCGCGCCTTCGCCGCTGCGATTCCTCAGAAGCTGCCCGGCCGCTGCGATTCCTCAGCAGCTCCTCCGCCGCTCCCCCCACCCCTGCGCCGGCGAGATGGAGCTCAAGCCCGGCATGTCGGCGCTCGTCACCGGCGGCGCCTCCGGCATCGGTAAGAGGCGCCCCCTCCTCTCCCCCAGGCCCCAGCGGCTCTCGAAACGTTGTTTAGTCCTGAGTCCTGATGCGCCGTGCCGCTTTACTTCAACCTGTACAAAGGGGTCCATTCCTACGAACTAGGCGATGCTAGTGCGCGTTTATTCGCGGGCTGATTTGCTTTTCTCGCCTCTGTCGATCCGAGCTGAATGCGGTAATTGGGGAGGTGATGCGCTAAGTATGCCGTGTAGCACTCGAATGGAGGAGGCGGATGCCTTTTTTGTGGAAAGCTTTGGATTCAGATCACGGTCGTCAGTGTAGTATTATTGTGCAGGGCACCTAGTTGCAGTGCTGCACCCCTTATGGTACAGCAATAGTGAGTTACTTTTACCTAGTATAGTGATACCTCTGTCTGGGAAAGGATGCCATTCTAGCTCTATCATTAGTCAAACTTTCTAAAGTTTGACTGAGATTATTGAAAAGGTGTCAATATTTATAACACAAGATAGTAAAGCTATGGAAGCTTTACTGATTGGAATTCTAACGACTTCTATTGATTGCACAGAGTGGCAATTATACCATATCAAGGTGATCTGCCAACTATTGGAATTGGTTGCAACTATAATAGCATAAAGTTTATAGAGAAGCTTTTCTTGAGATTTGTATGCTTTAAACTGCAGGTTTACTGGAAATTAAGTAGCCTAATAGAGTTCGTTTTTTGGGGATACTACACATCATATAACATGCAGCCATGCAACAATATGTGCCCACAGCAAAACCAAAGGCTCGAAACTTTCTGGAAACTGGCATGTAATTGGTAGCAAGGTTCTTTGTTTATCAAATCTGAGATTGCAAGATTGCAACTGGCAACTGCAAGTATAGGATGGTTTAAACGAAACTGAAAATTGACGAGTACCAGTAACACTGGATCGAATTAGCCTCCCTATATTCTAGCTGACCATAGAATCAGATTGCTTATACTCAGCTAACGATAGCGAATATGTTTGATTGACATCTAGATCTTAGACCTTTAGTTTAACGCGAGGAAATTTTTTTTACAGTAGGTTCTGCTCCCTCTTATGGGTTTAATCCCCTCTTCAATTCACCAGCCCGTGTAGATACCTTCCAATGTATTAACTTAAGAGTTCTTTTCTATTTTTCAGGGAAAGCACTTTGTATTGCTTTTGCAAGGAGGGGTTTATTTGTGACTGTCGTTGATTTCTTAGAGGAAAATGGAAGAGAAGTTGCTACATTAGTTCAAAAAGAAAACAGCAAATTTCATGGAGATCTTAGAGTTCCGTCTTCTTTATTTGTTAAGTGTGATGTTAGTAATGCAGGTAAGAGTTTTTAACTTTCAGATGTTAACTGAAAGGTCTGCCTGCCATGATCTTAAATATGCACTATTTAATATGCAGATAATCTTGCTGCTTGTTTTGAGAAGCATGTACACACTTACGGTGGACTAGATATCTGCATCAACTGTGCTGGAATTGGCAATAAAACACTAGTTTATGATGATACATCTGATGGAACTAGAACATGGAGGCATGCTGTTAATGTGAACCTTGTTGCTGTCATTGATGGTACTCGCATTGCAGTAAGTCTACCGTTATTTGTCAAAAGAAATTGTCAAGTTGATCTTTCGGTAACTCAAATTATTAATTTGTACCAACAGTTATTGCTGGTGTGGCATATCAGTTACAATAGGCAAATCATGCTTGCATTCTTGGTTTAGTTTGATTTCTTCATCTTTGTACACCTATTTTGCATCATGTTGTTAACTGTCAGGCATGTTATCTATATTTTCTTTACATCCAAATGCACATGCACATGACTTTTGGTTGAATTTTTAATTACCAGAGTCAAATAATGCGAGGCCAAAAGAAGCCTGGTGTCATAATAAACATTGGTTCAGCGGCAGGTCTTTATCCTATGTTCTTTGATCCCATATATAGTGCGACAAAAGGTATATGATTCCATATACTGTTTTCTTTTTCTCTCTTTCTTGTCAGCAGATTGTGATTGCAATACTAGCCTACTAGGCCAATTTTGATATTAACTGCGACTATTAATTTGTGGAGAATAATATGTACATAATCCATCTATCGCTTGGTTCCAGATGCCTTATGACCTCAAATTCGTTTCTTGGCAGGGGGTGTGGTTATGTTTACAAGATCACTTGCTCCATTGAAACGCCATGGTGTTCGTGTCAATGTGCTCTGCCCAGAGGTATTAAGAAACCGCATGACTGAATCAAATATTTATTATTTGTTCTATAATTTGTGTACTTGCTTGTTTTAGTATTGTGTTTTTTGTCCTAACCTTGTTACCCTTTTTAGGTTTTGTATTTCAAAAAATTAATTCAACAGTGGTACAGCTGTGCGCACAGCACACTGTATTCTCCGTTTCATAAATTGACATTAATAGACAAAATTAAAAGTGAAAGGGTTTGTAGTCTAGTGGGTGCGGCAGCCATAGTAGCACTTCAGGTCCAAGGTTTGACTCTCGTGGGAGCAAATTTAAACAGGCCTAAATTAGAAAGAAAAATGCTTATCGTCAGCTGTATTCCTGAGTTATATATGTAGCCATTCTGATTTGTTTTCAGCGAGATACACATGACTGCATGCATGTGTTCTGGGCGCTCAATGGCACATCCAGGGCAGCCTTTGGGGTGTTTCTGGGTCAGCGTCCGAGAAGCTTCTCCTTAGTACAATGCCCGCAAGGGCCGGGGTGGAGGATCTTTCCCCTGCCGAGGTTTTTTTAGACAAGATTAAAGATTGACCAAATAGTGTGACTGGTAACTATCTTTTTTTTAGCGTAGACTGGTAACTATCTTAAGGACCACCAGTGATATCGATACCTCTGGTTCCCACCACCGCATGTGGATGATCTTATATAATTCTAGAGGCAGACTGGTATGACAAGATCAAATACTAATTAAAATCAATAAGTGTGCCAGATGATTTGGTCTCATGATTTCTCTCTCTCTCTCTCTCTCTGTGTGTGTGTGTGTGTGTGTGTTACGATGGATCATGATTAACAGCTAGAAGGGACAAAGGTGAGATCGATTTGCGATTATTTGTCTTGACCTAGTCATGTACTGATTTATGCAGTTTGTCCAAACCAATATGGCAGAACAAATGAGCCGCAAAATTATAGATTCAACTGGTGGATATTTGAAGATGGAAGATGTTGTTAATGGTACGTCATTTCTGTAATCAAGTGTTATTACATGACTATTATATTTGTAACCATATTTTATGTGCCATGGTGATTAATGCAAGCCTCTGATGAATTGTTCTAAACTTCTAGTGTTATGTTGAGATGGGGTGTTTTAAAGATTGAACTGCACAAGAACATTTGTTATCACTGTAAAACATGTGAATTCCATTGATAAAAATTGAATAAAGTACATGGTAGGTTGCATGGCCTGCATGAATAGGTCAGTTCTGTCAATGATCTTGAGAACTTTAGCAAGTGATGGTTAACCAACCAAACAGTACGGTATCCCCTGGTAGATATGGTTCAGGGATCTTTTGCATATGATGTTCTCTCTCTCTCTTGTGATGTCATCTTTAACACCAACACTAACACCAATACCAGCCTGCAGCCCCCCACTCCACCTCCTCATTTTTTTTCTTTATTGTCCTCAGGCGCATTTGAGCTTATACAGGATGAGAGCAAGGCTGGTGCTTGCCTTTGGATAACGAAACGACGAGGGATGGAATACTGGCCAACGCCAGAAGAACAAAGAAAGTATATGGTGAATCCTAACAAATCAAAAAGGATGCTGACAAATAATATATATCCTAGCATCCGAATGCCTGAATTCTTTGAGAAGATGTAAGTCTTGCTATGTTATGTTTCTTTCTTTGAGAAGGTCCGGAAGCTGAGCTAGCTCAGTTAGTCTAGGGTGTGGACATATTCCTAGACCACCCAGGTTCAAGTCCTCCTTGAGGCGAATTTGGGTGCCTATTTTCCTCTTAATAAAATGCCACCTAGTTCCTCTTAGGTTGGTCTAGTTTTTTCTTTCTTTCTTTGAGAAGGTATAAGCTGTCCGACTGCCCCCAGCACATTAGATTGTTTTTCTTGTCCCAGCAATTCCTTATAACGAGTTAAGGAACTAATGAAACCACTTAAACTGAAATAAACAACTTTAGGTCCTACGTTTATCATAGTACTCAGCATTTGCTTAGGATGTGTCTCAACTGTTTACGCAAGATGACATATTGATGATATTTTTTTTTGACACATCACATTTTCTAGTAGTTTTTTAACAATAGCTGAGCTTAGACTTTGTATTGCATATCAGTTATCATGTTGCACTTGCCACAAATTTCCTCAAACGGCAATAGCCTGCCGGTAATTATATCTCACAAGCTGGAAAATTTGTGCAGGTATTCAAAATTGCATTTATTTTATTAATGATTGTTTCTTATTGATGCTTGTGTAGAGTTGTTCACACACTCAGCCATAATTTTCGCAACGCTACAAGACTTGAGCGTGTGCAACTGAGATTTCCTATCAAAGCACGTAGTGCTCTGGTTAAAATAATATATGCTGGTGTAAATGCTAGTGATGTAAGTCTTTCGATTTCATTTTCAATTGCTTTTCGTTGATGCCTGATGCCCATTAACTAACCTTTGGATGATTTAATGGCCTTTGTACAGGTCAACTTCAGTTCAGGACGTTATTTTAGTGGTAATCCTAAAGAAATGGCTTCACGCCTTCCATTTGATGCTGGTTTTGAAGTAATCAATTGACTTTCCTCATTAATTTTCTGCACAAATTGTTTATTACATTTAATTACAACTTTTCTGGGCACTAGGGTGTCATCGACTTTGCTCATTATTTTTCTTTTCCTTTTTTCTTATGAGGAATCTCAATGTATGCAGGGTGTGGGAATTGTTGCCGCTGTCGGAGATTCAGCCAGTCATATCAAAGTTGGCACTCCCGTGGCCCTTATGACTTTTGGGAGCTATGCTGAATTCACGGAGGTCCTCCATTTTGTGCCCTTCTATTTCTCAACAAATTACCTAGTAGCTTCTGTCCTCGAAATGGGATCATCTGCAGCCTATTAAATTTTGAATAAGTTATGTTTGTCTATCAGTACTGGTTTTTATCTTTGCATTTTTTTTTGTGAAGGTTCCAGCCAAACATCTTCTTCCAGTGCCAAGACCGGACCCTGAGGTTGTTGCTATGTTGACATCAGGACTGACTGCTTCAATTGGTCTTGAAAAGGTTTACTTTATTTATATAAACCCCTGCTTGTTTTCTTTGTCTCCTCTGTCGTCAACCAAACTTTGAGCATCGTAGTATCTGTTTTCCATCCTAGACTAATTTGGTTGATTCTTGCTGGCTTCAGGCAGGACAAATGACATCTGGGCAAGTTGTTTTAGTGACAGCAGCTGCTGGTGGAACAGGACAATTCGCCGTTCAGGTCAGCTGAGACCATTTTGACATCATTACTACAATTCTTTTCGATGTAGCCCTCAATCGCACATATCTATGGGTTGTGAGGAGGTATAGGATAAACATATACTGTTTTATACTTTTCAAACTTATACAGGATAAACATTCCCTGTAATTTGGATTTCATCTAATTCATCTTTCACTTGGATAGTTCTTAGGGACATGTTTTGGTAACTTGTATTTTTACTGGATTGAGCAATGAGCATGATATTCTAGCCTTCTAGGACATGGGCAAGGTTGTCATATTTGGTTCTATTGGTTCTGATTTCCTGTCTACATATTATTCTGTTTCGTATGCAACTTTATTAATTTAACTCTGAACTAAATCCTTACTTTTTGAATGTTTCTTTTCATATCTTCACTAGCTGGCGAAACTAGCAGGCAACAAGGTTGTTGCCACATGTGGAGGTGAAAGCAAAGCTGAACTTCTGGCTTCCTTAGGAGTTGATCGTGTTATCAATTACAGAAATGAACGAGTCAAAGATGTATGTTTTTGCATTCTGTTTCAGTTTGTCCTACCTCTATTCGCAGTTCTGCAATTTTCAAGGCTTCAAACCATGTTGTGCTTACCGCATACACTAGCGTAACCTTTCATGTGTCATACAGAATGCAAAATATTTTATGTGCATGCTTGAACTACACTCATGTTGTAGAAACTATAAGTTATTTAGATCTCTGATATTCTGAGTTACATTTTGAAACCTCAAGCAATTGCAAGCCACTTAAATTGATGCCTCGGTTTGTTTTCTTCGATGTGTTTATTAATTTAAAATGTATGAATTCAGGTTCTGAAGAAAGAGTTTCCAAGAGGTGTAGATATCATATATGAATCTGTAGGTGGGGAGATGTTTGACTTGTGCTTGAATGCACTTGCAGTCCATGGGCATCTCATTGTAATTGGTATGATCTCCCAGGTAACTTTGGCAGCCCTTGAGATCCATGTCTTTTAGATTATATATTGTGAGTGGCAACATCTGAGGGTGAATATGTAAAACTGTCACGTGCTCCACCATTTAGAGTTTCTTGGAATACTGAAGCCTGGGACTTAGTGTCAATGATTCTTGCCCTTTTCTATTATTTGGTGGAAGAATAAACTCTGGAATATTTTTAAACGTGCTGTGTTAATAAATACTTAGCCTATTATGCATCTGGTTAATAGTTAGAGACTGGAGTTTACCTAGGAAATATTTGTTCCTTAAAAAAAATCTATTGTGGTTATGTTGAAACCTTTTTCGAATTAGATTTGGTTACATCCTGTTTTCATTGTAATAGGTTTTTAGTAACATGTCATAGCTTATACCTGAATTAATAAAAAATGGTGACTTCCGTGTTTTCAGTATCAAGGAGAGGATGGCTGGAAGCCAAAGAACTACACTGGACTATGTGAGAAGATTCTGGCTAAAAGTCAAACTGTGGTATGTCTTAGTAACTTCGTTTGTTAGAATGTACTGTGCCAATATTTGGTGTTCATTAAACAAAATTGGTTAGGAGACAATGCATGTAGTGTATTTGATCCTACCGCTTAGATTTTCATTGAGGCAGATCATCAAATGAGGTTTAGACGTTTGATTTGGTCTATGAGAACCTATGTTTAGTTAAAAAACAAAATTGTTGCATGATAACAGAGAGAATGGCCATACTAATTCTATGCATGCATACATACATACCTATTAGAAGATGAACTTTCTGTATGCCCATAGTAATATGTGCATCAGCAGCAATGCTTCGGGCATCCACCTATTTCTTACTATAGTTGAGACGTGAAACTGAATGCCTCACATCCCTGGGAGAAGGAATGCAACATGTAGCTGTGAGAGGTTGCTGGCCGATCCTTGGCTAGTTGGCTGGCTGCTGGCATCCTGCCTGTGTCTGATGATGTCATTGAGAATGGTGCATGTGAGAAGGTAGATGAGAAGTAGAGGATGGTAGTGAGGGAATAGGTTGATCTTTATGATTTCCTATTGATTGTAGAGGCATAACGTAGCAGGCAAATATATATCTTATGACTCATCTAACTGACACTAACACCATAACATGTGGGATCCTGAAGGGATATGTAAAAAATTGCCTTGCTGAACTTTACATAGAAGGATCAAGTGTGATCCTGTGGAACAGCCACTGTACACCTGGACTTGCATGGTGAAAGCTTGTTTTGGCCCTGGCTATGCAATTGCCTGCATTATAGAATGAGCTGCTGTGGTGGTGAAACTGTGATGTCCATTTAGCCCGTTACTAAATTGAAGCCAACATGACGTACATTCGTTAGCTCCTGCTTTTTCAAATGGTATGCTACTCCATCCATTTGAAACTACAAGGCTTATTTCTTCTCTTGGACAAGCCTTTGACCAGCAATTAGACTATTAATAGAGTTTTTGGGACACAAAATTGATGTCATATTTGTAAGCGAGATATGGCACGGCAAATAATATATTGATTATGAATGATGCAGGGTTACACATATATAGGCAAGGATGACCTATAGGGTATTGACTTATAGGATCAGAACCAATCAACGGTAATCCTTGCCTATAATGATTCGGTATCAATCATAGTAATCACCTATGACCCCAGGCCCATAGGAGAGTATCAACCGTGAGGCCATGACCTGGGACATCTAGCAATATTTGTACTAAAATATACTTGATTACGTCTCTTTGGAGACATCTGATAAAATATACTTAAAAAAGGACGTACCCAGTGCAGAGAGCTCCCGCTCTGTGCGGGGTCTGGGGAATGGTGTTAGTGGCAAGCCTTACCCTTGCCTGTGCAATGCGAGGAGACCGCGACTCGAACCCGGGACCTTCCGGTCACAGGCGGTAAGACTCTACCGCTTGCATGAGGCCCGCCCTTCTAGATATTTGTATCACATAAATGAAATATTAGTAGAGTAATTTCGATTAAAGCCTTGTCTGAGTGAAACGAAATATGCCTTGTAAAACACTGGAGGGAGTAGTAAAGAAACTATATAGAACAATCATTGAGCTACATTGATAGATGTTGGATCCAATATTCTAAAAGCATTCTGTTGTAGACTTTGAATTCCATTTCAAATTGCAGGCTGGATTTTTCCTTGTTCAATATGCTCACCTGTGGCAAGATCATCTTAACAAACTTTTTGACTTGTATGCCTCTGGAAAGCTAAAGGTATGCCACTTCAAGCAGGGCCTAGCAAATGGAAATAATCAGATAACTACCTCACTCCAAATACTTTGTGCTCATGATGGCTCATAAATTCGTGAGATACTTTTAAATCTATAATTTTACCTTGTAACTTATCTTTTCATGCCATACCACAATATGTCATATAACAGGTTTCCCTTGACCCCAAGAAATTCGTGGGCGTTGCTTCAGTCCCAGATGCAGTCGAATACCTTCATTCTGGCAAGAGCGTTGGCAAGGTATAAGTTGTCTATCTTTGACAGCATGAGAATCTATTCCTGTCTATCTTTGCAACTTACAGGTTTTCATCCTGAACATTTTCAGGTCATTGTGTGTATTGATCCATCATACAGTCAGATTGTTGCGAAATTATAATCCATGGACATGATGCGCATTATCTTCCATTGTCACGAAGGTTACAGTGTTGCACACATACAGCAAGACCGTATTTACCCAGCGGGTGAGAACTGAATAAGGGAACAGGTTGGTGTATAGCTTAGTTTTTTACCTGAAGTGTAAGATGCACGACTATACTGAAGGACAAGCATGGGCATGGAAATCGAATGAGTTTCTAATCCAGGATGCAATCGTGTGGCCAAGTTCCACGTTTTGTGTATAATACTGTATATTATATAACTTGTCTCAGTGCCACATGCTTCAATCCGAACCGGTAATTCAAACAGAGCTCATGCAGATGCATTCCCAAATACGCAGCTTGGAATATCTGGATAGAACGTACGTACGGAGTAATAGACAAGAGTTTGATGTGGGGAGCCTGAGCTCTTAAAAATATGCTCTCATAGAGGGTGCGCTTCACGTGAAGCTAAGGGTCCGATCGGCTGCCCTTTATACAGCCATATGAATGAACACACAACAACAGCAACAGCCTGTAGCAGTCCCCGGTCAGGCTGTAAGAAATAAGCTTCTCTCTGCTCCGCGAAAATTTGTCCTCTCAAATATTTCTGACATGAGCTTTTACCAAAAAACAGTTTAAACTCCACTAGTGAAGCTACTCCTTGAGACGAAATAAAAAAACTACTCCGCTAGTTGTACCAATCGGTGCCAAACATGTTTATAAGTGCCAAAAATGCATCTTTATAGTACTAATAGGACGTAGACCAAAAAGACAATTCATATCTATGACTATAAATTTGAGGGGGTCACGTCGAGGTCACTGTTCATCCGATGCGGCCCTCACATACCACTGTAGATGAACAGTCCGGATCGCACTGAACAGTGCCCGACCCATTTTTCCCCTTATTTTTTTCCCTTTCCTCTCCTTCCCACGCGAAGCGTGGGGGCGCACGCTAGTATCATATATTTCTCAATTTCAAATCCATCCCGCGGTTCAGACTTTAGACGGAGCGATCATCATCAGAGAAAAAGAGCTCGTGATGAGGGAGATAAACACGAGGAGATCGAGCCGGCCGGGGCGGGCAAACCGCCGTGCGCAGCTCGGCTCCCTCGTTGCCATCGTCTGTCCCCATCCAGCTTCTCGACAGATCCGCTGGCCCGCAGGCCGCACCACGTACTACTCTGATCTTCTCCCTTGTCCGTTTGCCTCGTCTCATTTCGCACTTCTCCCGAGTCTCGCCTCCTCCGTCACCCACGATCTCCCCGCCGGAGGCTCGGGCGGGATGGAGCTGAAGCCAGGCTTGTCGGCCCTCGTCACCGGTGGCGCCTCCGGCATCGGTGAGCAAGAGCAACGCCGCCTCGCCAGCTGCCTCCTCTCGCGCGCGGCGTCGATTCCGCTCCTGTCCTGGTGCAGTTGGGCCAGGCCCCAAATCAGCGACGGGCTCCGTAGCCTGGCCCGTTGAGACGTTTAGTGCACGAGCCTGGGTTTCTCCTTGGCTCGACAAAACCCTCTGCTTCGCCATCGGCTGTGCTGCAGCTGCTCCAGAGATGCGGCCATGCGGGTCTCCTAGTCATGGATTTCCATCCACCATTGGACAGCCTACACTGGTTCACATTTCACCTTGTGCAACTTATGGTGAGGCAGAGACACACACTTCGACGAGAGACGGGAGCATAGGTTCACATAGGATAAGCACGACATCATTGCGTCCTCTATTTATTTACTCCATTTTGTGCAGGGCAGTGATTTTACTATATATTCCTCGTAATGTGTGTTGGCTGACAGTTTCCCTTTTGTTTTTGAAGGGAAAGCTCTATGCATTGCTCTTGCAAGGAAGGGTGTGTTTGTGACTGTCATCGATTTCTCTGAAGAAAACGGAAGAGAAGTTGTTTCGATAGTTCAAAAGGAAAACAAACATATTCATCAATATGCTAGAGTTCCATCCGTCATATTCATCAAGTGTGATGTTACCAATGGAGGTAAGTTCTTGCAGGAGATGAAGATTAATCTTCTGTAGTACTTACATTGTCCAAACTACTCATTGAGTTGTTCTATTGATGTTTGATGCTATGTTTTGACCGCAACATATTACATAATTCAAGTAACTGCATTTAACTGTCATTGACTGAAGATATCATAAATGTTCTTCAGAAATGTACTTATTATATAGGGTTTTTAGGATCATAACGTGAAACACTGTCAAATTGCATGCCGCAGGGACGTATTCATCGTACCTTTTGTGTCAGATCTTTCGATTCTGTCTCCTAGAATATCGTTACTTTGGGGCTATGGTAATCGGCTTTATTTTTCTCATTGGATGTTCACTTGCTTTATGATTTCAGCACTTCACTGGAACCGTAATTTTTCTGCCCTCCTATTTGCCATGATCTTAAAGATTTACACTGGTTTGACATGCAGATGCTCTTGCTGCTGCTTTTCGGAAACATGTGGACACGTTTGGTGGACTAGATATCTGCATCAACTGTGCTGGATTTGTCAATAAATCATTGGTTTACGATGATAAATCTGATGGAACTTCCACTTGGAAGCGTGCTGTAAATGTGAATCTTGTTGCTGTTATTGATGGTACTCGCATTGCAGTAAGCCTCACATCAACTCTGTCTGTTGTAATAGCATTGCAGTAACACCGAGTGCTGCTCCTGTGCTCCTATTTGTGGCCTTTGTTGAGTGCATATATATTTCAATTTCTGCTGATACAGTTATTTAAAAAGTACTCCCTCCATCCCAAATTGTAAGTCATTCCAAGAATCTTGGAGAGTCAAACTTTTTTTAGTTTGACTAAAATTATAGAGAGAAACACAAAGATTGATGACATCAAATAGGTATAATATGAAAATATAACTAATGAAGAATCTAATGATACTTACTTGGTATGATAAATATTATTATTTTGTTATATAAATTTGGTCAAACTTGAAAAACTTTAACTCTCCAAGATTCTTGGAATGACTTACAATTTGGGATGGAGGGAGTATATCTTTTTCCAGTAGACTATTACCCTGATTGAAGGATAAGAGGTAACAGTTTTATCAGAATATAACATGTCCTTGTCCCTGGAGACAAGAAGTAGGATAATTTTATCCCACCTCGGGCTTCCTTCTTTATGAAACTACTTTTGTACAGTGTTGTCCTTTTATTTTTTTGATTAATAAAGCAAACAGTGGGGGCCTCCCCTGCTGTATTTTCTAAAAAAAAAGAAGTAGGATAATTTTGGATTGGTGGCATTGAGAATTTGTAGATCACTCTTGCATTATCTGCAAATTTTGAAATTTTCAACTTCGCACTACTTCAAAACATAACAACAATTTTCATACAAGTTATCTGTACTTATGTTTTGCAAAATAAAACATGTATACTACTAATATTGTTTTTTTTTTCCACAAAAGTCTCAAGTAATGCGATCCCAGAAGAAGCCTGGTGTCATAATAAATATTGGCTCAGTTGCTGGCATATATCCTATGAGCTATGAACCTGTGTATAGCGGGACAAAAGGTTTGTTTCTTACTAAAGACAGATATGCTATCCATATATGCTGAGTGTGTTGGCAGCAGAGCAGTTGCAACATGGAGCTAGTTTTGGATTTATCTAATACTATTGATTCGTAGAAAATAATTCACACACTGATTAGTTTAGCCCAAGTTACACAAACCACAACATGTAAATGCATTCAGATTTGGGTCATGTAAAGCTCAATGCTAAACGGTTTGGCATGTGTGTACACTGTCTGACCTCAAACTTCATTTTTGTAGGGGGTGTGGTTATGTTTACAAGATCACTTGCCCCACTGAAGCGGCATGGCATTCGTGTCAATGTACTGTGCCCTGAGGTATTAAGATTTGCATAACTGGAGGCATATAAAGCTAATTATTTCTAGTATAGTACTCGTTGACTTCACATTCATCACAGTAACTTTGAAACAGTTCCTGCATTCCTTATTAACTTGTGAGAAATTGCTGATAGGTTTTGCATTCAGGACATTGATCTGACAAACATATAGTAGAGCTTGGTCTTTCAAAAATCATACAGTAGAGCATAAGTAAATTCTTCTGCTGGCTCGGTCTGCACGGTCGCTGCTGGACAGCAGATTGCTGACATTGCCACAATATTCCGAGCAGCAGCACTTCTTTGTTGCTCATACAGCAGGGACGTGCTACAACCGCAGGGCCTTCAGGCCCTAATGCCCAGCAGCACTGGCTCCATTGCGGACTAGTGGCTAGCGGCAGGAAGCCGATTGACCAGAGAGACTGCAGGATCTTAGATGTGATGGTGGTTTTGGTGTTCTGGACAATCTGGAAGGAGCGCAGTCGCAGGGTGTTTGACAGTATTGCGGCCACAGCTGCCATTCTTGCGCAAAGGATTAGAGAGGAAGCTCATACTTGGATCATGGCAGGCTTCCATCGGTTGAGGTCGTTCTTTGAAGTATCCAATGGATAGTTTTACCTTTACGTCTAGGTCATCTTTTTGGTGTCTTTTCTGTGTAATAAACCTTGTTAAACGCTATCCCGCCTGAGCCATTTCCGAGCTTGGGCATGCGTGAGGTCGCGCTTTCTCTCCTCTGAATGAAATACGTGCTCAGGCGCGTTCATGAAAAAGTAGAGCATAAGTAAGTGTGGCTGCTCACTAGCTGGGTTCTCATGGTGAAGGGACAATAATTCAAGTTAAAGATGTATGAACATGAACTTGAACTAATAAATTGTAAAATCAAAAGAAGCTTGTTCCACACGTAGCGGCTGGTAGGACAAGGACAATTTTGAGCAGCTCCCTGCTTATTTGAGGAAAAAGGATATTTCAAGAGTCTTATTTACCTTAGGTTTATATGTTGCACTGATGTATGCAGTTTGTCCAAACTAATATGGGAGAACAAGTAAATCGTGTACTTGTGGATGCACTTGGTGGATTTTTAAAGGTGGAGGATGTTGTTAATGGTAAGCTATTTCTCACCTAGTTAAGTTGCACTCCTCTGTCCATCAAGGTAGAATGTATCTTGGCAGGGAAAAGTCTTCCAAAGTATATCTGGACTCCTATTTCTTTAAAATATATGTTGCCAAATGTTATAAAATCAACACCATCTTAAAAGTACTTTGAGTACAAATCTATTTTGGATTTTTGGTACAACTTACACTAACAAGAAAAAATGCATATAATTTGATTAAATGTTGGTCAAAACTTGTAGAATTCGACTTTTCCCTAGTCAAAATACAGTGCATCTTACATGGATGAACGAAAGGAGCAATTATTTGTTTTACTTTATTGCCTATTTTTTCCGCGTAATAGTTATGTCATGATTACAACTGGTTACCAACTTACCATTGAACCTTAGATGAACCGTGCTACTAATGTTCGGTTGAGATGGGCTGCTTTAAATGGTGACCTCAAAATTCGGGCATTCATGCATATGTGAAATATGTATATTATAAATTGACTCCTAAATTGCAGCATGGTCTCAGAATTTGAGCTGTAGGTTAACAATTTCGCCACGAATAAAAAAAAATGACCTGTTATGTTACATTATTTTCCTGCCAGTATGGGTCAATTTGGGTAGGCCAACCATCCGTTCCAGGTAGGTATGTTTTTTACCTCCCTTGATCTCCTTGTATAAATGCAGCGCTCAAATTCATGGACCCAAGCAACAAAACTATGCAAGCTTAAGTATCAGTCACTATTAATGTCCATATTTGTATATATATCTCTTGCACATGATGTTTCCTGGATGTACGATTAAAAAAAGGATGATGTCTTTCTTTTTCCCTTTTACCTGAAAAGAACCCCTTTTTATTTGAATTAGGTGCATTTGAGCTTATAGAAGATGAGAGCAAGGCTGGTGCTTGCCTTTGGATATCTAAACGGAAAGGGATGGTTTACTGGCCAACATCAGAAAAAGAAAAAAATTACCTTGTTTATTCCTCGAAATCAAAAAAGGAATTAGTAAAGAATATATTTCCTAGTATCCAAGCACCTGAATACTTTCAGAAGATGTAAGTAGTCCTGCTACGTTTGATTTATATTGTTCTAATAGCTTGTTGAATGTACTTATTCTTCTCAAGGGATTGTTGAAGGATATACTCTGATGTTCTGATTTCTGTTCCTTTTCAAGCTATGGCACTTTCCTGTTTCTGTTCTTTCCACATTTTTGTAGCTCTTGGGTTGACAGTTACTAGTGGAATGTCACGCTAAATAGCGGAGCATTTATTCACTGCTATTTGATTTTTGTCACATATATGGATTACCATGGAAGTTTAGTTCTTGAACCCTTTTTCTTTTCAAGAACATGGAACATGATATAAATGTAGTTCCAGGAATCTATGTAAAAGTATTGCCTATAGTAACTAATCAATTTTATATGTTTTAGAGGTATCGTAACACCAATAGCTGGTCCATTTCATAGTATCTAGTGAACTATATTCCTAATGGGCAACATCCTGTCAGTTCTTACATATCTTTATGATGCTTTTGTAGGGTTGTTCACACACTCAGCCATAATTTCCGGAATGCTACAAGGCTTGAGCGTGTGTGCCTGAGATTACCCATTGAATTACACAGCGCTCTAGTTAAAATTATATATGCTGGTGTAAATGCTAGTGATGTAAGTCCTTGCATTTGTATTTTCGATTTTCTCTTTTTTCTCCCCACTGCTTAAGCTTAACTATTAGAAGATGTTAATGATATGTTTCAGGTAAACTTCAGCTCTGGTCGTTATTTCAGTGCTAATGGTAAAGACGCTGCTTCACACCTTCCATTTGACGCTGGTTTTGAGGTAACTGGTGCTTTTCATAATTCCATGCTCAGTCTGTTCTTTTTGCCACATTAACACATCTGTGTTATGCATACTTGCATTTTTTATTTATGACATTTTATGGAGTTTTCATTGCCTTTCTAATATTATAAGTTTTACCAGATTCTGTCTTTAAAAATATAAATGCAGGCCGTGGGAATTGTTGCTTCTGTTGGAGATTCAGTGAAACATATCAAAGTTGGCACTCCTGTGGCCCTTATGACTTTTGGAAGCTATGCTGAATTCACGCTGGTACTGCTTTCTATGCCTCTTTTGTCTAGCATGGTGCCAAGTATCGCAACAAATCTTGAATAAATGATCAATTGACCCATTAATTACATGCAAATAACTATTGGTGTGATTGGCTGCTTGCATTGGCCTTATCCTGCATTAGACCTAATGCAGCACAGCCCAAGACAACATAAATGTATTTAATGTTCGGTTTGGTTGTCCTGCACATGAAACCTGCGTTTGGTAAGATTGTGTTCCCCTATCGGCTTGTGCAAATCTGCATTGCTAACATGATCCTGTTTTACTAGCTAATGTTGCATTCGACTTGCTTTGAGCACTATACAAACCTGCATAAGAGCCTCTGCAGACAGCCAAACATAGGTAAACTACACTGCAATCAGTCTGATGCACGCAACCAAATAGACCTATATTAAAACTTGGATTCTACATGCAATTTTGAAATGATCACTAAACTATAAAAAGCCCATATGAGCATAACTATGTTTAGAGAATCTTCTGTATACACACAAATGCATAGAAAATCTTGTACTATAGAACCAACCACCAACAATAACAACAAAATCTCATTCTTTCTAAGTAAGATAAAGAGTTAAATTTGCTAGCGGTCCATGAAGTTGTCATGATATGCCACTTAGGTCCACGATCTATGAAAATGCATTTCTGGGCATTAGAATTGTCCAATGGTCCACCTCAGGTCAATGTTACCCATGTTAGCACCTAGCAGCCTATGCGGTGTGCTGACGTGGACACTGGCCCATGGGATCAACATGTCATGCTACTCATGCACACCTTGTTTCTCTTCTCCCTTCCCCTATTCTCTCGGCAGTGCTTGGCCGATGTCTCCTCACCGTTGACCATGGTCAGGGATGAGGGCACGTGCAGGTGGCGGCAAATGAAGGCTCCAACTATTGCATGGATGACATGTGGGCCCTTTGGGTCAATGTCGAGGTTGGTGATGCCACGTAGGTAAGGTGTTGGCATGGGTAACATGGACCTAGGTGAACCATTTGACAAGTAATGATCCATAAATGTGTTTTTAGAGTTCATCGACCTAAGTACTTAAGTGCCACACCGTGACAAGTTCATGGACTGATCGTGTATTTAACTCTAAGATAAATTACCTACCAACCTGTGACCTTTATCCTCCATCGAGTGAGATCTTCTCTAACCTCTTGCATTTTGGACACCGTTACTGCTGACAATAACATATTTTTTGCTTTATATATCTTTCTGATGGAAGGTTTCAGCCAAAAGTCTTATTCCAGTGCCAAGACCAGACCCAGAGGTGGTTGCTATGCTAACATCAGGATTGACTGCATCCATCGCTCTTGAAAAGGTTATATTTCTCTCCAGATTTGTCTGTTTTTTCCCACCGTTGGCATATGCCATGTATTTTGAGCCCTATTGTGTTCACATAAGATTCAAATTCCAAGTTTGAAGATATAATTTTCTTCCTTGCTTATGTGGATTCGTTTATTCTGCATTTCTTCCATTAGGCTGGTCAAATGACATCTGGGCAGGTTGTTTTAGTCACTGCAGCTGCTGGTGGAACAGGACAATTTGCTGTTCAGGTGAGCTGATGACACTTATGAACTATGATTATGCCTGTTTTATGTAATGCTCCATTGCTTGTCTACTTCTGTAGTTTAATAAAGGTGGTGCAATTATGTGTTCTGCATTATTTTTTGAATTTGCACATGATAACTGTATCACGAAAGCTGGAACACATCTTTCCTAGTTAACTATTGCTTAGGATCATGTTCTGGCCACTTGCATTATCTTTTCGCTGCATTCAACATGATATTTGGAGGATACAGGTAACTTTATCTTATTTTGTTCTTCTCCTTTGTGTTAATGATTCTCTATTTTTAAGAAAATTTCATAGACTTTGAAGTCTAAATGTCCTTTTGTTCTGAATATACAGCTTGCAAAATTAGCAGGCAACAAGGTTGTAGCCACATGTGGAGGTGAAAGTAAATCTACGTTTCTAACTTCCTTAGGAATTGATCGAGTTATCAACTACCGAAGTGAAAAGATCAAAGATGTAAGTTTTTGTTCCAGCCTTTCGTATTTATCTTTCATACTCCAGCTGTTTATAATACATAGTTTGTTGTTTATATTTCAAATGTTTAAGCTCGATAACATTTCTTTTGGTTCCTTTCTGTGCTGATATCAGTGTGTTATTTATTGATATTATAGTGTACATTTATGTTGTCTGGTTGTGTTCCTACTTTTTTTTTATGAAACTGGAGGGGCTTTGGGCCCCTACAGGGATTTTATTGAAATAAAAAGTTTAAAGAAAGTACAACAATAAGGACTGTTCTAATGTTCCTACTTACCAGGTAGCAGTGTAAAATCCTGAAAGTAACGTAATCCTTACACTTAACGACCTTTGACCATGTGTAGTGCATGATTTTTTTCTTGAGCATGCTTGTATTACATATTTACATTTATATACAAATCCATATAGAATATATACAGTCAGTCAGAGTACTGCTCAATAAGGACTGTTCTAATGTTCTATTCCAGGTTCTAAAGAAAGAGTTTCCAAGAGGGGTCGATATCATATATGAATCAGTAGGTGGAGAAACGTTTGATGTGTGTCTGAATGCTCTAGCAGTCTATGGGCGTCTCATTGTAATTGGTATGATCTCTCAGGTATACTTTTGAATTTTGGCAGGCTCTGTACCTTGCATTCATTGATTTATTATATGCTCTGAGTGGTGACTCCAGTGGGTAATACAGAATAAGTCAAAACTATCATGTGCTTGACCAAAGAAAAAAATTCGCATATTAAAAGTACTGAGGAGTCGAGGGGCTGATCTGCACAAAGTGATTAGTGACTACACTGCAGGTGCTTTAGAAATCGTACAATTTTCATCTGGTGCTGTTAATAAACATGATTTTTGAAGTTTCGGAATAGAATTGAACTTTAACTTCAGTCTTTCCTTGTTTAGTTTGTTGTTATCGTTTCTGAACTCTGTTGGAGATGGAGCCTATGTGCTCATGCTTTGGGCTTATACTATCTGTTCCTAGGAAAGATTATTGATCTATTGAGATCATGCTTACAGTTACCTGATCTAGGAAATATGTCAGTTGGTAGTGAATAATGTTATATATGTTCTCAGTATCAAGGAGAGGAAGGATGGAAGCCACAGAATTACACAGGACTATGTGAGAAGATTCTTGGGAAAAGTCAGACTGTGGTATGTGCGTGCTGAATAACACCAGAAGTCCAGAACTCAATATGAATGCACTGCCCTTAGTATGTTACTTAATAATTGTTGACAAAGTGGCATTGTCGTTTCAAAAATGTGATGTTCGTTAGTCATAGTGATTTGCTTAAAACTGCATGCATGTACTTCGCATTAAATGGGACAGACCCTGAGGCTTTTACACAGATCATAGTTATCAGTTATCACACACTGAATCTAGCATGATGCAAATTTTAAAAGGATGCTTCTCACTAATACCACAACCAGATCTAGAAAAAGAAGTGCTTTTGAAGATACTGCAAGGATAAATGAAGCCTAAAATTGTGAGATCTTATCTTTCTAATTTCAGGCTGGATTTTTCCTGATTCAATATGCGCACCTGTGGAAAGATCATCTTGAAAAACTGTTCAACTTCTATGCTTCTGGAAAGCTAAAGGTATGGTTCACAGTTGTGCCTCTCTTGCTACAACGAGCAATGGTTCCTTTCTTGATGCAAAACCATGACCTTTCACTGTTCGTTTTGTGTTTGTGAAACCATACTCGTCTTATATTTTCGAACTTAAACTTACCAAAAGCTGCATATAACAGGTTTTCGTTGACCCCAAGAAATTCATGGGTGTTGCTTCCGTGGCAGATGCAGTAGAATATCTCCATTCTGGCAGGAGTGTTGGCAAGGTACGGCGGTTTCTACGAGCCTAATAATACAGTAATAGCAACAGATGAACCTATTATTGCTGTAGTAAAGTAACTTGCAATTTTCAATGTCATCTTTTCAGGTCGTTGTTTGCATGGATCCATCCTATGACCAGACCCTTGCTAAGCTATAATGTGTACTTTGGAGCATGTGAGCTACAATTTCAGCAGAAGATTCTTCTTCAGGTTTACTGTGTACTGATGTGCGGAGTTACGCCGTATGGTCGGAATTGGCAGCACGTAGCTCGCTTGTCCGAGTTCGCAATGCACGTGACTAGGACGGGCGAAAATTGGAAGGAAATCGAATAAGCCAGGTGACTGTTAAATAAAAAGTCCTCTGCTCATTTGGACCACTGGAACTTTTTTCAAAATCTACCGGGATTTTGAACTGTTTCTGTGAAATTTGTGCCCCGAACAAACCATTACAGTTTTATACGAGACAAGGAGGCAATTTCTTCTTACTCTTCAGGAAGGAAAAGTCTTTGTGGGCCTGCCTGAATGCCTTGTACTCTTTTTCATTGATATATGAACGGAGAACCGACAAATTGAACACAGCGACAAGTCACAACTTTTCCTTTCAGGACTACACACACACAAGGACATGTTAACCACACACAAGCGAAACAACGTCCACTGACGTACGTACAAGGTTGAGCCTTCACATGATTAGCCATCTCGTGAGCATAATTACAGCTAAGAGACGCGTTACACGGTAAGCAACTTTTACAAGAGAAATGAAGACAGGAGAGGACACGAGAGGCGACCTCTTGGATCTGACAAGTTGACTGGATCGTGTCATGGCCCCACCCGGACCCACTCGTACCGACCGTCCATGGGAGCGTCCTTGACGACGTCATAGTTGTACCTTGAACAACACGACCAAAAGATCCCAAATGTTACACACTGGTTAACGCGCTGCCAACATGTGAAGTTGTGAACAGTTTGTTCAGATTCGGCAAAGGAGAGATGGACGGACAGACTGCAAAGACGAAGTGAATTTGGGTTTTTAAATAGGAGGAAATGAAAAGGAAACAGAAAAAAAAAGGGGGGGCTAGATTGGCCTGTGGAAAGCTTCACAGCTTGTGCCAACGCGAAAAGGCCCAGTGCTCAAGTTGGAGCCATCTCATATATTCTCATGATCCCAAAAAGCACATGAGCACCACGCCACGCGAAAAGGCCACCACACCTCGTTTCTGCTCAATTCAGCAGGAACAGAGAGCGGCACCGGCACAGTAACTTTCTTTTACTGTAGGTGTGGGCGTGTGGCGGAACCACACTGACAGCCAAACAGGCCCTTAGGAGCTCGCGCAGAGGAGGGGGAAGCCGGGAAGGCGGAGCTGAGAGACCGAGGCGCACTGTCATACTCACTTGACCGCAAAGCGCCGCGCCATGCCGCTCTCCGCTGCGGCGAGGAACGCCTCCACCTCCTCCGCCGGCGGCGTCGACCTTCCTGTCTTTCCCTTCTTCGGTCTGCGCAACACAGAGAAAGGAAGGGGAAAGCATTAGCTACGGCGCCGTGCACGGAATTGTTTAAGCACATGAGCAGCTGAGCCGAGCAGCTTGGCTTTGCTCAGACCCGCTGCTTTCTGGAGGAGAAGCACGACTGCACGAAGGTAGAGGAGGTCAGAGAGGGAGACCGACGTGCCGGCGCCCGCAATGTCGCCCTCGCGCTTGCTGCATCTCGGCACCGTCGTCGCCGTGGCAGCGGCAGCGGCCATACTTTTCTGCTTCGTCGCGCTCGCTCGCTCCTGTAGTCTGTCTCTCGAGGTCCTCTCTCTCTCTCGGGCGGGGGCAGTTGCGTGCGTGCCTGTGAGCGGTGAGGGACTGTTGGGTGTTACGGGTCTGGTTGGGAGGAGATAACGATTGCGGAAACCCCGCGGTTACTTATGCTACTCGCCCGCCTCTGGCCTCCTGGCTGTCCTGGGTATGGGTCGGTGGACGGTGGGCCGTGGAGCCGGAGCGAGATCCCCTTGGAGGCTGGAGGCTGGACTGCTGGAGCAGGGGCATGGACCGTGGAGTCGTCGGAAGTGATAACAGCAGCTTGCCTACCGCGGCAAGGACGGGACGGGAAAAGGTGAGTAGCCGCCGGGGTGGGCGTACGTGTCGGCTGGCGCGGGGGGTGCGCGGCCCTGTACGTGCGCTGTCAGTCACGGCTGTACTTGGTGGGTGCGCGGGCGCGCCAGGCTGCCGAGCGCCGATACTTGCCGAGCTCGAGTGCGCCAGGTCCGAATTTTTTTTTGTTTTCAGCCTTTGTTTTTTTTAAAGATTTTTCCAAATACGCCGCTGACAGAATCCTTTCAAAAAAAAATAGACCCTAGCATGTTTCAGGGTCGCCAATTACTACGGCACCGAGCTATGGAAATTGATAAATTTTAATTTTTACAATGACTTGGATATTGAGAAATGTAGCTAACTCTAGATTTTTTACAATGACTCGTTGGATGATCACTTAAAATAGTCTAGAAATACTTAAGATAAAAAATGATCTAGGATTTATGTTCATGAACTAGCCTAAAAATACTTCTAAGTGTTGAATTAATAGTTAACTCCTTTTTCCATAAAGCTGTTTTGATCGGGGTAAAACTATAGTTTCTTTTTCAATATAAAGTTTGACCTTAATAGAAGTTGCAGTTTGAGTTGAGTACAACAAACTTTGTTTTTAGACCTAAATCTAAATTAGTCTTTAACATGGCCGAATTGTGACCACAAGTTTAAATACAATGCTGTTTTGGCCTAACTAAATCTTTCTAATTCTCTTATCACCGGTAGTGAATTGACATGTTTGTGATATTTTATCTTCTAAATTTGTATAGCAACTTAATTTGATACCGTACTACGAGTTTGAATATTCTCTGAGGAGATAACAACAAAACAAGTCTCGTCAAGTTTGGACTTAGCCACGGTAAAAAATCAGACTTAGCCACGATCATAAATTCTAGACATAGACATATTTTCACATACTTACAGGTCATGACATGCTTACAGGTGAGGTGTGTTGCGTCCGTGCTTGCATGGCTACACATGCACATACGGTTCGTTGCATGCATCGATATATCTCCGGTTGGCAATACAATAAACGCATAGAGCCGAGCCCTGCATCGCCCCGCCGTGCTGTAGGAGCCGAGCTCTGTACTGTGTCGCTCGGATGTGCTGTAGTTCCATTTGGTCAGGCAAATTTTTTATCTTAAGTATTTTTAGATTGTTTTAAGTGATCAAACAACAAGTCACTGTAAAAACTCTAGAGTTTCTCAATATCCAAGTCATGGTAAAAATTAAAATTTGTCAATTTTCATAGCTCAGCGCCGTAGCAATTGATGCCGAGCTCGGCGCTAAGATCCACGACGCTGAACTCATGCCACGTCTGCACCACGCATGCAGTTACGTCAACGACACGCAGAAAATGGTCCTGGACCTCGGTTGGCGCTGAGACGTGTAAACTCGGCGCCAATGGTCACGACGTCGAGGGCAGGGTCTATTTTTTGAAAGGCTACTGTCAGGGGTATTTGTGAAAATCTTTTTTTTAAAAAAGGGCTAAAAAACAAAAAAAAAATCGGGCGCCAGTGGGGGCACCCGCGCTCGCATGCTGTGGTCCGTGAACCGTGGACGGGAACGGGAATCTGTGAATCTGTGATGGTCCATGCGAACGGGCATGGGCGCGGGGAATGGGGATGGCGGATGCCGTCGGTCGAATGTTCGGATGGCGGATGCCGAACGATCGAGATTTTTCTCTCACACAAACCAACCAGCAATACTTCTTCACGAACCAGCCAAAATACTAACCAGCCAACCAGCGAGTCGGACGAGGTTCGTAGTGCGATGCTTGCTTGCTGCGTGGTGGTCGTGGAGCGAGGTCGCCGCCCGCCCACGCGCCTCGGGTACGCCTGCGGCGGGCCTACGGTAGACTGGCAGCGTGACCCGGGGAACGACGACTGGAACGGAATCTTGTGGGAATGTACTGCGCGGAACGGGTATCATTGGTCGACGGTTGCTACGGACGAATCCCATGTGCCGACGTGCACTCTCCTGGTCCCGTTATGGCATTCGCTGACGTGATCCAGTTTTTTCATAAAGGAAAGGTTTTATTAATTCAAGATCATTGCATGGAGTAGGTACAATAATCTAGAATCTACTTTCTTCTAGCTTCTGTAAAAGTACATTTCCTAAAAAAGAAAAATAAAAAAGCCTAGCAACTAGATTGTCGCTATACAGGCCAGGGGGAGTGGTGGCAAGGTAACCCTCCCCACGGGAGCCAGGCCCCCACGGAGCTCCCACGCGAGCGACACGGACAGTGACCCAATCCCCAGCCACGCCGCCCCTTCTCCGCGCCTCTCCCGCCGCGCCGCCACTAGAGCAGGCCACCAGCATGGCTGCGTGGGTTGCCGGGAAGGGGGGGGCTCCTTCGTGGTGGTGCGTGCGGCGGAAGACGGTGTGTCGTGCTTTGCTGCTGCGGTCGAGGGAGCGTTACGATGGCCACCGGCTATGACCACGGCAGCGGCGGCCCGGGGCTCGGATCCGGGGGCCCAGTGCCAGATCTGCGAGGGTTACTCTGGCAGGCGCGCCACCTGGCGGGGCAATGGCGGTGTCCGCCCTGAGGCGCCGGAGCGGCAACGTCGCTGCAGAGGGCGGCAAGAGACGCTGACGATGGTGTCATGGCGACGTCAGATGGGTGGCCCCCTTCCCGTAGCTAGATCGCAATCAACGGGGCTAGATCCATGTGATGCCGGCGGTGGGACGGACGGCGCTGGGGCTGCTGCTGGGCAAGCAGAGATTCGGTCTTGCTTGAGGTGGTGGCAGAGATGCGGCGCTGGCGACGTGGTGGACGGAGGCCGAGTCGGCGAGAGACAAGGCCAATATCGGCGTCGGTGACATCGGGCGATGTCCATGAAGTGGAGGCTAGTGTCGATGACCCAATACGACCGGGTAAGGAGAAGGCCAAGGTGTGAAGCTGTCTCTAGAAGCTTTGTGTCCGTGCACGTGGTGCAGCTGAGATTTCGGTGGCGGCGAGACAAAGGTGAAGCTATTGGAGAAGCTCGATGGTACCAAGTCATCCCCGACGGCGAAGCAAGCCCGGATCCTCGGAGAGTCCAGCGGCGGGAGTGGTGAGGCCCCCGTGCGCTTTAAGGTGGTGTGTCCG